ATATATAAATGACAATGAGATTTCTTTGCTCTTTTATAATTACCACAACAATTGATTGCATTTGACCATTTATTGTAATTTTTGGAATTTGGATAATAAAATCTATAATAATGTGAAATCATATTATTCATTTTGACCATTTATTGTGATTTTTGGAATTTGGATAATAAAATCTATAATAATGTGAAATCATATTATTCATTTTTTTTTATATGTAAAACGTATTTTTATTTTATTGATTTTAATTGTAGATGTATGAAGATATTAATAGATAAAAGTTAATTATGTTCCGAATCTTGCATGTCATATAAAGTTTAAGTCTAAATCCAAGCCTCAACAAATCATTATTGACAAAATAATTTTGGTAGGGGTTAAGCAAGCTAAATAGGAAACTTCAAACATTTTTACTTGGTCGTAATTGTTATTAAGCTCTTGAAATTGCAAATCAATAGCACTCGAAAATTAATCAACGAATACTAGAAAACTTAGCAAAGAAGTCTTTTGATCTCCCAATATCTAAAAAGTGGGGGTCGCAGATGGGTAATTCATTATTAAAGAAATAAAAAAGTTAATTATTTTCAAATGTAGTCCTTCATACGGAGTAAATATTTTCTAACAAAATTCCTTTGAAAATTTATGCATCCACTCACTTTGCAATTTTCTCTGTGATCCAAAATGTCCCCCTCTTCCATCCTAGGGATGACCATTCATAGATTTAGATCACATTTAGGTCGCTTTTGGGTTGTACTATAACATAATATTATGATTATTACAAAAAATAATATGGATTAAAACACGTTGAGTTTGAGTTGTTCGGGTAAGGTTCAAGTTGTGTTCAGACTTCTTGATAACTTCACGTTGGATAGTAATAATACTTTTATGATCATATATTGCCAACCCTACACCACATATGTGTCTAGCCACTCTAGCCCACAAGTATGAGATTGATTCACATGTTTAACATAGCATAAACAGGCCATCTTTTAACCCTAACATAGATTTGGGTTGCAAATATGAAATTGGGCTCTTTTTTTTTTTTTTGTTGAAAATGAATTTGGGCTACTTATTCAACCAATATCTTTACCCAACCCAAAACAATACAATTTTTTGCAAATGGATAGATAATCCAAAATTCTAGAATAAATAAAAAAAAAAAATTTAAAACAAATGAAACTCCCAGAAAATTCTTTTTTTTTTTTTTAGATAAAAAAGAAAAAAAGAAGAGTTGAGAAAAGGAAAGAGATGCCATTACTTGTTCCATCTTCTATCCTGGCGTATGGTTACCGCTATCGTGCGCCATATTACAAGCAATTTCTTCCTTTCTCCTCTCCCACGTTTCAACTCTACTCTCCTCTCCTTCTTCCACGTGTCACCTCTTCTCTTTTCAATTCTTGCTCTCCTCTTCCCAACACGGGCAACTCTCTTCTCTCTCGCATGGAGGTTCTCTTTCTCTCTCTATCTATTTCTTTCATTTTTTTAATATTTGTATTTTATTTTTATAATATGGTATTTAGAAAATTATTTTTAATTTTTGCGTAAATTGTGACAGAGAAAGGTGTTTGGTTTGGTCCTACTTGTTTTGATTTCCAGCGTCTTAATGGTAATTTGGGTTTTTTGTATTTTGAGTCAAAACCCCACAAGATTATGGGGTTTCTTATGATTTTATTTGATGATGAATGTATCAAATTATGTAATACCATGCTTTTTTTTGTTAATAAGATGAATGGGTTTAGGTTGATTTTACTAATAAGGTGTTGAATTTGTATAATTATCATGGAGATGATGAATGATGATCTTTGACTCTTGATATTGACATGTGATTATTGATATAGTATTAAAATTTGGCTAATTTGTGAAAATTTCCATGCTTTTGGCTCCAAGTGAAGTGCCCAAATGTTGCTTCTTATATTGTTGGAGTGTCGAGGGTCTGACATGGGTACTGTAGCTGAAATGAAGTGTTTTAGTCAGTAACATAGTTGATATTGATTTATTTGATTGAGTTTCGTCTACATCACTACCTTTGCGACTCCCTATGACAAAAAATAAGTACTTGGACTTTGTAATTTGGTGTTGTATATGTAAAAATCAATGGCTCTACAGAAAGGCTTGAATAAGTTGAAGAGATTTTATTAATACTAGTACTTACATGACTATTGTGGAAGATGGTGGTCTTAAGCACTCTTAATGTCTTCTATTGATTTTTGTTGCTTTGTTGTAAGCACTCTTAATGTCTTCTATTAGAGTCTTGGTTAGGAAAAAAAGATTTAGCTTTTTGTTGTAAGCCATATTTGGCTTATGATGCTGTATTGAATCTTTAAATTGAATTAGGATGATGTAGGTTAATTAATTTGATACTAGTCAGAACTCAGTAATCAAAAATTTGGAGACTGGTATAGTGAAATGTTCATTGTACAATGACCTGTTAGTTTTAAAGTGCTGTCATTGTTATTTTGGAATCCTTTGTTTGGGGATATGAGTTCTCACTATCAGCATAAAATCAGATGAATTTGTGGCTGAATTGAATATATTGTGTTGAATTTTGTAAACGAACACTTGAACAACCTGCAAAGACATATTTTGGTCTGATGGCTTGGAACTTTGAAGGTTTTATTGTACTCGTTGCAAGTTGATTGCTTGCACTCTGACTGATATCCTTTGTGTGTTTCACTTGAGTAAAGCATTTATTTATTTTCGTGTGATTTATCTACAGAAATACTTTTCTGGGTCTGGTGGTGACATGAATCGAAACAAAGGTATGGTGGATCAGTTACGGCGTTGTGGAGTTTTTAGATCTGAGAAGGTAGCTGAAGTTATGGAAACTATTGATAGAGGTTTGTTTGTTCCTGATGGAACTCCGGCTTATGCGGATAGCCCCATGCCGATAGGCCATAATGCAACAATATCTGCTCCTCATATGCATGCAATGTGCCTTGAACTGTTAAAGGATAACCTGCAGCCTGGGATGCACGCTTTAGATGTTGGTTCAGGTGATTTTCTTCTTCATATGCTTGCCTATGCAGTCTCATTTCGCTCTTGCTGTATCGATGTATTTTTTTCAAGGTCATTAACTATAAACAAGCATGATCAAGCCTGGTGTACTGCAAAATCTAATTGAGTAGAATTGTTGAGGATGAGAGATTGAGGGTTATGTTTGAGATAAAATAAAAATAAGCAATTGATTTTGGTTGATGACTGATAATTAAGCCCTGTTTCCTACACTGTGCAGAGTAGAAAACAGGGCTAAACTAACAGTCATCAACCAAAATGCACGAGGATATGGATTTGAAGTATATGGCATTGGATCGTAATGGAGAAGAAAGATTTTGGTTGATGACTACACGGAATAACCAAATTTGGTTTGAGTGATTGAATTGATTCAATCATTCAATAGTTTCAATGCTTCGTCATCATTTAAACACCCTTTAAATTGGCTGTTAGCTTAGCCCTGTTTTCTATTCTAGTGAGTGTCATTGCTGATATATTATTGCTTTGCTTGCAGGCACAGGATACTTGACTGCATGTTTTGCAATTATGGTTGGATCAGAAGGTCGTGCGGTTGGCATTGAGCACATACCTGAACTGGTCAATTGGTCTATTGAAAATATCAAAAAAAGTAAAGCTGCTCCTTTTCTGGAAGAAGGATCCTTGTCTGTTCATGTTGGTGGTAAGATCACAAAGCACTTGCACGTTACTCTACAACATCTTTTCTTTTTTGCCCTGTAATATTTTCAGAGAATGTATTGATGCATCTTTGGCTATTCAGTTGCAACATTTTGGTGCCAGCAATAGGTTTTACAATAGGTTGTTTATAATGCTGTAATTTCATTTCTTCTAACGCAATGATCATATGGCAACGTGATGATAGATGGAAGGCTAGGATATCCTGAGGCTGCGCCTTATGATGCGATCCATGTTGGGGCTGCAGCTCCAGAAATTCCAAAGGCTTTGGTTGAGCAGCTGAAGCCTGGTGGTAGATTGGTGATTCCTGTGGGGACCTACTTCCAGGATTTGAAGGTGATTGACAAAAAAGAGGATGGCTCTCTCAGTGTCAAAACTGAAACTTCCGTGAGATATGTTCCACTGACTAGTCGAGAGGATCAGTTGCGGGGTTAAATGAACTCCCTTCAGCTTATATATGCTCTATATTGATCATCTTACTTTTTTTTTTTTTCCTTTTTATCTGCCAAGACGTTATGTACAAGTATGAGTTATGTTAGTATGTACTTCCCCCGTTGTATATATTGACAGAATAATAGGGGTAAGTATATCAAATCTTGATTGGGGAAAATAATGTTTCATCACTTAATTTACTTTAGAATGACCCCCTCCCTGATCTAATTACAGATTAACTGCATATATTCATAAAATTCAAATGAGGCGCATAATAGAGCGTATCACCAATAGGAGATGAAGGTACAGGTGGGTCGCTGTCTGGAGTATTGGAGCTCATCTACTTGCAAGTCATGACAACACCATGTTGTGATTGAGCATCACTAAAGACTTGGTTCCATGAGTTATAATATCTAATACTGATTGTTTTGCCAACTGTATTTTGTATACATGTAATATGAGCAGATGAATCTTCATAAATGTAAAGATTTGCTCAGTTTCATGGCGTGAATTTGGATGATTGGACGAGCATGAAACGGCAGATGACTCTGATTCTGTATGCTCCCACACAGGCCAAATCTATGGTAATTCTACCATTGAATATCTCAGCATGTAAGTGAACATGCCCAGAGTTCATCAGTGGAAAAGGGGTTCTTCATTACAATTCGTTGAATTGGTTTTACTCGAAACACAAACTATGCGGTATACAAAGACTTAACAAGATGAAGGCTTCATTGTCTCAAGACTTGGAGACCGTTGAAAACCACTAGGACGCTGCTTTAAGGTAGTTAAGATGAAAGGACCGAGGGGAGCAAAGGGTGTAATGTGCAGGTTGCAATAACTGATTGATCCTAAGGGTGTTGAACCGACTTGTAGTCTTTTAAACAATAGATACTGCAAAAAAAAACAATTGCTGCTCCTTATACAGTACAAAATTTTGACAGCAGTTACAAAACCTAGAATAATGAATTTAACAAACTTTACGTATATTAAAATATGAAATGGGTTTGTATTGCCATAATTGCAGCCATTGCATAAACTAACTAAAATCACAACATTCTTTGGAACCGCTGCTGTCAAAATATGAGCTATAAATAGTCTCAATCAAAAGGTTGGGGGCAAAAAAAAAAAAGACAAAGAACTAATACTATCAACCAGCTGAGTTGTGCTTGTGGAGCAGATCAAAAACTACGCCTTGGTCTTTCTTCAGCAACATTTACCCTGATTGCCCTTCCATCCAAGGTCTGTGATAATAAAGAGCATTTAGAGATCAGTAACACACCATAGCAAAAGCATGTAAACAACAGATACTAAACTCCTTAGAATGGCATATTAGAGTTACCTGTCCATCAAGGGCAGTAATGGCATCATTCACCTCTGATTCAGAGGCCATTGTAACAAAGCCAAATCCACGTGAACGGCCAGTCTCCCTGTCAGAAACTACTCTGGCACTAAGAACTTTTCCATGTTCACTAAAAAGTTGCTCCAGGCGTGAACTGTCTACATCCCATGGAAGGTTGCCAACATAAATTCTGCAAGAAGGTTCAAACTCTCTGGGAGGCCTTTCAGGGCGTGATCCCCTTGGGGCAGCCTTGTTTACTGTCAATAGCCTTCCATTCACATCCTGTTCAAAATACAAGAGATGCAACACAACTTATGAATTCATTTCAATAGCCTCAAATGAATCATGAATGAACATAAACAAAAACAAACAGCCCACAAGTCTGAAGTCTGCTCTACCCCAAGATGGTTACCAGTTCAAGCCTTTATTGCTTCCCACAAATTGGGCAAGCTTTAAAAAGTGATGCTAAATTAGAACTTACACAAGTTCAGCAACAAAATCGCATCAAAAATGTCTAACGGTGCAACTGTAGGTCAGCAATCTAGGAGAAACTTGTTCATCTATATGTTATCAGACATCATAAACAGATTCACTCTTTTCCATATTTGAACTCACAACAATGTTCTAGGGTGTCAGTTGACCTCCCTCCCCTCAACCCCATAAAAAGGGGGGAAAAAAAGAAGATTTAAATACCACTAAATAAAAATTATATGTAAGAAAACCAGCCAAAGCAACAAGAAACAAATGCAAAGGACATCTTTTCCTTTCTAATCATTAAGTCTAAAATCACTATGCCCTCCACATCCAAACATGTTATCCAATTCTCATTCATAAGATAGAATTGCTTCCTCATTTTAAACTGTTGCAGCATCATTTACATGAATAGCAACATCCCATGGAAGGTTACCAGCATTTGCAAACTACAACTATCTAGAGTTTTTCTCCTTCATCTCAAAACTGTCATATACATTGATAAATCGCAAAATCATAGTATTATATTGATCATAAAATGCAGAATTAGCAGGAATTTTTCAACAGTCATGCTTATGACTCCACATAGAAACATTATCTAAATACACTTCATTAGCCATAAATTAAACTCATCACTCAACAGCATAATTGAGCTATATCAACTAAAATCACTTCTTTGTTAACAATAACATCAATAATTGAACACCATTTCCACAAATAACATGGAAAAACTTTTTATCACTACATATGACACCAAATTTTGCAAATGTATATATATGAACTACAACAAACAAAACAGGCAAATTCAATAGCATTAAGCAGCAAACTAAAATAAGAAAGTAAACTTACATATCCATTCAACAATTCCACAGCTTTCTCAGCTTCTTCAACTGTACTCATTGTCACAAATCCAAACCCTCTACTCCTATCAGTCTCCCTGTTGTAAATTACCTACAAAAATACAACATCAAAGAAAAACCCAGAAATTATTCCAAATTATCAACAAAGCCCATCAAAAATTAACAAAATTAAAACCAAAAATAAACCAAATCATCACCAAAAGTCCAAAACCCATCAAAATTTACAAACTTTAAACCCCAAAAAAAATTATAAAATTCACAATTGTATCAGCAAAACCCAATAAAATTAACAAACTTTAAACACAAACAATTAATCAAACTCCCCAATTTTCAACAAAACCCATCAAAATTCACATAATTAAAAACCCAAAAAAGAAATGAAATTACCTCAGCAATCTCAACAACACCAGCACCATCAAAAAGCTGAGCCAATTTCTCACTATCAACATCATAAGGCAAATTACCGACAAACAATTTAGCCTCTTCAGGAGGTTCAGGGAACCCTTCACCACCTTCAACAGCACCTTCATCTTCACCTGCAAATTCAGCAACTTGAGGTTCAGAACCCCAACTCGCAACCTCTTCTTCTCCTTCAAGAACAGCATTGGTGGACCCTTCTTGCTCCCAATCAGAGGTCTGCGCAACATAAGCAACAACAGGAGGTCTTTGAGAGAGTGAAAGACTTAGCTTGGTGGGTTTTAATGGGGTTGAGAAATACAGAGATCTAGGGTTGAAAATTGAGGGAGTATAGAAGCAAGTTGGGGACATTGAGAGGGTTTTGAGTAATGGGTTTGCTGTTGAAGTCGCCATTTTTTTAGGGGAGAGATTGAATTGGGAGGCGAAGAAGAAGGGAAGGGAAGAGGAGAAGAGAGGGTTTAAGGAGAAAAGGGGTGAGTGAGGATAAGAGGATTGATAGAGTGAGGCTTTTTGTGGGAGTAGAAATGAAGATACAACCAAGAACAAGTGAGTCACACTTTACTCACCCCCACTTGACTCAATTGGAGAAATAATCTTAAATTTTGGTGTAAAATCTTTAAATCTAAGGGTTGTTGTCAATTTGGTTCTATGGATATGGGGTTGTTGTTGATGTTTGGATGGTTTAGATGGGGTTTGAGTCTCGAGATATTGTTAGGTTTATACAATTGTTTGCTACTATGTAAACAGTGCGATGAATTTATATGAAATCTCATTTTAATATCTAACTTATTTTTTTCTAGACAGATTAGATTAATTCATACGAAGCACGATTTGAATGACTAATTAATATACTTTGGCTATAGTACAAAATTTTAGAAGATTTTCTTTATTGTAGTATGTCAAAAGTTGATTTCAATGCGTGACTTGTATCTTGCATTGTTCTAAATTGGTCCGTGTAATTGTGTAAGGTAACAACTCAATTCTTCAAAGTGGGAATATGCAAATTATTGATGTAAACTTTGACATGTTTGGGCATATAGTCAGTATATAAGAACTATTCTTTTGTTAGTATAAGTTTTAATACTTATGGTCATGTTTAGACCTGACAAATTTGATTCGTATCCGATTACTTAATATGTAATCCGACTTTGGACTCGAAATAACAATTCAAACTTCACTAGAAACATTAAATGACCTGGCCTGACCTAAAACATTAACTACCTAAGTGGAGTATATGTTTCAAGTAAACTATGAATTTATGTAATTGTATAAGATAATAGGTTCCAAAATAGTAACAAAGTCTTACTATAAGTTAAAGGGTCACTTAAGCCTTTAACTCCACTTTTTCTACTCCCTTTGTCCTTGTTTTTTTTTTTTTTTTTTTTTGTTTTTATGTATAAATGAAAGTCCTTAAATAATCTTTTTGTTAAGCTTAAACACCATATTAAAGAAATTGGGAGGTGGAGTGAGGGAAAAAGTGAAATAATCCCCTTCACATGGATTGAGTAGGAAATTTAAGCAACAAAAAGATTATTTGTTGGCAGATAGGGTTTTACTTTTATTTAATTGCTCTTTTCAAAACAATTATTTAAAATCAGTCAATTTGATATTAGGGAACCGTTTTTGGAGGTAGTGGGGTAGTTGAGAAAATAAAAAATTGTAAAAAACGAAAGTAGTGGAAGAATAGGAGGAGAGAGAGTATTATGTTGGGTCCACTAGATGTGAGAAATAAATTAAATATTGTAAAAACTTTCCAAAAAAGGAAATGGAGCAAGTATTTTAAAACGGCCGGAAAAGAAAAGTAAAGCAAGCATTTAAAAACGGAGGGAGTACTATATATAGGCTCCTAACTATCTACTGTATTTTTCCTCTAAAAAAATAGGGATATTTTCTGAGTAGGTAAGTAAGTATGTTAGGAGTAACTACTCTGAAGGATTTTCACAAGACATTTGACTACATCAATTTCTCCCCTAAACTATCATATAAATTAATCACAAATAAAGGAACAATAATTGTAGGTAGCAAAAATGCAATATTTGAGACTGATGAAATCATAATCAGCCATTCAGTCATTATAAATCGTCAGCATATAATGTTAATCATATGTTATTTAAACAAACAAATTCCACAGCATAGGAACAGTTTCCCCTTTAACCAATATAGAGATTAGAGAATATCAAGTAATCAACCAAAGAATCCTAGAACAAATCAGTTCCTGGATAAAAACATCTCATGTTAATAAACAAATTCGATGTCTTTAAGTTGGCATCCCCCTTCCAGTGTCATGGTCAGTAATCCATCTTCTGGACTGTATGTAAAATCTTCCGTCTTCTTGTCAACAGTACAATGCTTTGGTTTTGTGCTTGAATAAGCTCCAAAGCGGCCACAACCCCGCACTTTGATCTTCACAATACATCCATCTGGCCCTGTAGCCGAACTCAAAGCATCCACAGCTCCACCAGAGTTGTACATGTCAAGCAATCCGACAGGAGCAAAATGAACAGCTTCATCAAATACCTGAACACAACCAAAGTAAAAATTAGCCGCACTTAATACAAGAAATGAAAATAAGGATACTAAAAGTAAGAACCGGCTGTGTTGATTACTAACCTTAATAGGACAGATTGTATATAATTCACATGTAAGAACGCCTAATGACATTTCCACTTTTCCATTATTTGTAATTTTGGTGATGGTTCCTGTAATGTATCGGTAATTTGAAGAATTATTAGTTGTTTGAGCTACTACTGATACATATCAGGGAGGTTTATTAAGCTAGGCTAGGCTGCACTGCTAGAAAATACAGTACAAGTTTACCAGAATTGAAAGCGTAAACTGCACAATCTCCTTGCCAATTATCACCAGCAACCTCTCCAAGGAATTCGACATCATTGGGACTGATTTGGCCTGAAATAACTTCTGGTATTGGAGTATCAAGAGTATTATCTTTCAATGGCCAACTCCCTGCTCCTTGGCAGTTAAAAACTCCGATAATGCCAGATAATTTGTTCAGGTTCCAGATCTTCATTAAACTATCAAGAAGCAAGAAATGCAGAGCAACTATAATAAACTATAAGTTATTCATTCAATTTGGACTAGTTTATTGAGACAAAGTTTTACCTTTTTCCATCCATAACAGGATCTTTGAATAAGCAGTCTCGAGTAGGCCGACCAGCATACCTGGCTCTTAGGATTGAACCATCAGATAACACAAGCTTCTTAAGAATTTTAAAATCATGAATTCCAGGCTTATCACTGCAGTTCAGCAACAACTTCATCAACTAAATATCATTGTACAGAAGTTTAGAAATTGAAATTCATATGAAGGAAAATTCAACAACTGAACTAAATGACAGAAACTGCTACGAGTAGAGTGTTTAACCTGACATATACTGCACAGCCACCCACTGCTCGGGAGGCAGCATGAAATTCAGCAGTGTCATGTTTGCTCTATAATGTTAACAACAGCACCATCAACAATAAAAGATTAGATTTTTCGGCTAAGCAGATTATGTACATAACTACTTGAAAGAAAAATTAGCATAAGTTAGAAGATTACTTACATGGAACATGTCCCAATCAGGAACCACTATTTCTCCTAGAAGGAGACTGTTAAAAGACACAGAGGCAATATGCAGTGTCTGAAGTGTAGGCTCCCGAGGCATAAAATCCTCTGATGCTCTAGCAACTGCACTCTTCTTTGAGCTGTCAAGCAAATATTCGATCAGAAGTTACTTCAAACAGATCAAAGATACCTAAACTTTCTTCTTAACAAACTAAACCTGCATACCTGAATATAGAGTCTGAATTGTGACTCATGCAAGAAATGAGGTTATTGTTCTTAAAGTTCCTTGCAACAGATTCTTCGAGTGCCTTTTGGTGAAGACCAGTAAAATGAACCCGGCCACCATAACCAGAACCAACTGTTTCAACCACATTCTGAATATCCACTTTGACACCATCCACATCAATGCTGGCAAGATAATTATGATAATCGTTGTAGAAATCACTAATTTTCTCTGGATCAATAACTCCTAGTCCATATTTCTCAATGCTGTCCATTGCAACATCTCGAAGATTTCCTACATTACCCGGTGATTGAACAGGATATACAATCTTAGGATTGTATTTCTTCAGCGATTCAGATGATGGCAGGAGCCCTCCCCAGTATCCAACAAGAGCATGCCACATATAAACATATCTATATTATCCAATTACACCTGCCTTAGTCTTGTTGTATCTCACAATCTAAAAGACAAATGTAATCACAAAAACACATGCAAAGAGCTTTACTTCAATCCATATGTCTCTTTGATGAATTTGATAAACTCGGGAAGGGAGGTGTAGTCATCTGAACTAAGCCTTTGGAATTTCTCATTTTCCTTAATGTCCCTTAATCGTATAGCAAATCTATCAAATACCAAAACAGAAAATTGTTAATGTTTCTTAAGCAAGCAAAATTGTCTTGCAGATAAACTCTTTACTAGAAAGACAACTTACTGGGTCCCTTCAATACGCTCTTCACCTTCTTTTCGGAATTCATCATAAGTGTCTTGCCATCCATCATCAATAATCAAGAACTTTGGAACACAACCTCCTACTGAAAAACTGTGGTTCACAAAGAATATCAAGTCGTGTTAGACAAAATGCACAATGCAGCAGTCGACACCAAGGAGGATAAACTGATACAAAATGAGCAACAACCTGTTAATAACTGCTGTAAATATGCCTTAAAGTAGATAGTTCTAACTAGTAGCAAAGGCCTATTGTAACAGACACAAAACAACAAATTTCTTCTGGCAATTGTGACTTGAATACCTTTCAAGACCCGCTCTGATTCCTTCTGGATTGACGTCTTGATAGAAAGCATCCCAGGTGCACCATCCAAACCAGTCTAAATGAGCAGGCATCTGCGAGTAACCAAACACTACACCAATCAGAAAAACAAGTCCTTTTTGTTTAAGTGCTGATACAGATTACAGAATTGGCCTACTGCTTTACCTTCTTATTTTCTATGTGACTGAATGTCCCTTTATGTTCAGCCAGGATCCTACATTGAGACAGAACACACTTAAAATCCTCTTCCACCAAAGTCGAAAAAAATGCCTGACTAATTCTATGCTAAGATATGTAATGTGCTAAAACCAAGCATACTTAATTGAATTCTTCATTAGCTCATAAGGGTTATCCCCCGAATTTATAAACACTGATTCTGACACATTGTTAGTCTGAACATCAGGATCTCCTGCATCAATACGCAGAACAACGAAAAACAATCAGAACAAACACACTACCAACCTACAAAGACTTGAATCACTGCATGAGTTTAAACCCATTAACTGACCACTTTCAACACAAAATTCGAGCTCATTTGTTTTAGTCCCCTGCAAGCTCGCTCGAAAAGCTCCCTCCAAAACAGGCAACACCAAAATGTAGAAAGTACTGTCAGTATTCGTCTCAGTTTCCTTATCTAAGAGGTCAGATTCTTCTTTAGCTTCCAACAGCAACATTTGTGTTTCAACTGGTACTTCACTTCCAGAATGTCCAACTCTTGGTATCATCCACCATATCTTAAATCTAAAAAGTGATAGAAATGTGTATTTCCTGCAACACCCATTCATAAATTCATTGCATTACTATACTTAATCCTCTATTACCCCTTTGATCGGTACAACAGAATTAAGGTTGCATACAGCTGAACCTCTCGATTAATTAAATACTCGCAAACAAACATACATTTGATTATACTACCTCCGTTACTTATTATTTGCAACGATTGGACATTTTTCCTCTCTACTTTGACAAATCGCTGCAAATAATATGTAACCGAGGTAGTAATTTTTATTTATATAGTCATTTTGAAAGAATTAGACATTTTGGAGTATCAAAAATTAGCCCCTCCCCCCCAACACCCAACGGAAAAAAAAAAAAATCAATCAACGTGACAATTAATTCCGAATAGAGAAATAAAAGGAACAAATTAAAGAAATGAAAGAAGTGAACTAACTCAAGTACGCCAAGGGAGAAGACATGACGGGAACTAGACGTAGGAGAAGTAGCCCCAACCAAAGCAGACCCAAACGGCGCCGGAAAAATGACAACATTTTTCGGCACTCGGGTGAAAACAGCTTTACCGTTGACCAACAGACAACCATCTTGGATTACGGGGGATGAAGGAATGCTAGTGATCGTCATTTTCCTTGAAATCTTCTCTCCAACTGTAACGTGTAATATATCAATCAGCTTTTTGAATTAAATATATAAAACTCAATCCAATCAGAAATTAAAAAATATTTTTTCTATAAAAAGAAAGTTTGATCGAGTACCTTTGCAGGTAATCAAATTATGACATGAAACAGAACAAAATGATCGAAAGTTCGAGAGGTTTAGTGGGATGTTAAACGGCCAACTACAAGTAGAATATTGGTTAGTCAGTTAGTCTTCCTGCTGAGCTGTTTATGACATGGATAATAAAAATAATTGGCAAGTTTGAGACCTTCTCGAAGTAGCATTTGAATGTTTGTTGTTACACAAGATTTGTGATTCATGTGTTTGTATATAGGGAGGTTGGTGGGCTTGGTTTTAGCATTATTGAACTAAAGTTGCATTGGGTATGAGTATGGGTCTGGCTATGTAAGCCCACATCCCATGTGAACGTGTCTTGTGTCCAACTAGGTCATATTTGTAACGAGCCAAAGTTCTAGTTTTTTTTAGACAGAGTCCATACGTTTTTTTTTTTTTTTTCAACTTTCATTTGTTTCACCCTTTGGGCTAATCCAAATATGGAGATTAGTTTTGAGTGGTTAGATTTCAGTTTCCTCTCAATTGTTGTTGTGGTGGATCGAACACGAAATCTCCCTACCAAGTATAGAGACAGAGTCCGTACATGCCTATATGGTCACATTACTCACATACTCCCTCTGTTTTTAAATACTTGCTCCATTTCTCCATGCGCGGAGTTTTAGGAAAAATTGTAGAAAGTAATAAAATATAGAGGTAGTGGGATTAGTGGAAGAATAAAAAATTGGAAAAACCCTAAAGTAGTGGAGAGAATTGAAGGAGAGAGAATATGTAATTAATATTATTGGGTCCACTTGGTGAGAGAAATTAATTAAATATTGTAAAAACTTTCTATATAAGGAAATGGAACAAGTATTTAAAAATGGCCAGAAAAGAAAAATGGAGCAAGTATTTAAAAACAGAGGGAGTATTATGCTATATCATGTCATAGACATATATAATACAAGTAATAGTTAAAGATAAACACGCAAACACACTCGTCTTGCCCATGCCAACTTTTCAAATATTATACTACTTGTACTATATTGATGCATAGGCCATGGCAATATCTCATGTCATTTTGAGCTTGTGATGGGCTCCCATCCAACTTTATAAAATATAGAACAATGCTTTATTCTTTCATGCAAGATCTTATTAAATTCCTCTTAATATAAATTTTTTAAAAATGTCAACTTTTTAAAATTTTCACTTATATATAGCAAAAGATATTCATGGTCAACAATGTTTATTGAAAACCGCGCAAAGATGACATAATACTCTTATAAAGTTCAAAGATATGACATGTGACTAGACCTGGTTATTGGGTGGGTCGGGTCAGGGTCGGTGCGGGTAGGTTGCGGGTCAGGGTCAAAGAGGGTCACATTTTATAGGGTCAATATAGGGTCGGGCCAATGCGGGTCGCGGGTCGATAATGGGCGGGCCTACAAAATATCAATTAAAATAAATATTGGACAAAGCCATTATTAAATACATATGAATACAAATTAATCTATATAATTATTTTTACATTATATATTTTCTTTATCAACTAAATCGGAAAAACATGTTAGCCCTATATTGACCCTATCCAATAAGGGCCCTGTCCATTAATAGCCCTGTCCATTAAAAGCCCTATAAACTTGGCCCTAACCCTATTATCATTGGGCTACCCTATCCAATAACCACCTCTACATGTGACACATATTGCAAACATAATATATTTATAGTGCTTAAAAAAGGCAACACGTGGCACATAGTATGTATTAAGAACTCTTCTATTATCAACAGTAGGGATGTCAATTCGGTTAAACAGTTCGGGTTTGGGTTGGGTTTATCAGTTTCGGGTTATAACGGGTCGGTTTATAACGGATTGAAATAATAAGCGGGTCGGTTTGGGTCGGTTTTGAAAATTATCGGGTCAGTTCGGTTTGGTTTTTTTAATTGCAGTTTCTATTCGGATCGGGTCCTTATCGGGTCGGGTTCTAGTCGGTTCGGGTCATAATCAATTTGGGTTGAACTGGGTCGGTTTGAAAACGGGTTTAGCCCATTTAATGTGGGTTTCGGTTTAAAGTTCGGGTCTTAATCAAGACGGGTCGTAATTGGTTCGGGTCATAATCAGTTTGGGTTTAACTAGGTCGATTCGAAAATGGGTTTCAGTTCAAAATAGATCGGGTGAAATCGGGTCCAACCATTATTGTTTCGGTTATAATCGGTTTAGATTGAACTTGGTTGGTTTGAAAACGAGTTTACCCAATTTGAAACGGGTTTCTAATCAAAATCATATCGGGTTAAAATTGAGTCGGATGATTATCGAGTCGAATTAGTCAGATAATGGGTAGGAACGAGTCATGTTATAATCAAGTCAAGTCATAAATAAGTTGGGTTTATCGAGTAGTGGGTTGAAACAGATTAGATCATAAACATATTGGGTAACAGGTTGTAAATGACTCAGTCATAACGGGTCACGGGTTTTAAACGGTTTGGTCATAACGGGCTATGGGTCGTAAACGGTTCGGTCACAATGGGTTACGGATTATAACCGATTCGGTCACAACGGGTTACGGGTTGGAACGATTTAGGTTTATCGGATTTTTATCGGGTTTTAACGGTTTTCGGTTTAAAACGGGTCGGGTTACTATCGGGTTTAAACGTAATCGGTTTGGGTTGCTTTCAGTTTCGGGTTGTAACGGTTTGGCTTGATAACGGGTCCGGTTAGTAACGATTTGCACAAATTCGGTTTAGTTCAGTTTCGGTTTGGAAAAAATTGGATCGGATCAGTTTTCGATTTCCAAAAAACGGGTTTTAAACAGTTCAGTTCCTTTTCGGATCGATTTGAAACAATCGGGTTTAACGGTTCAGGTCAGAAACTGACATCTCTAATCAACAGCCTTAAAATCCTTCCCATGAAATCCTCTCCAATTTTATCAATCGCAATTTCAAAGATAGATATTTAATTTTTTAAAATAAAATTTCTCGCCATCCAATAATCAATATTTTGTTTTTGCTTCAAAAAAAAAAATAATCAATATTTTGTTTTAGTTCAACTATTCTAAAGACAGAAAGGCATTAATTCGCATTTCTATTCGCTAAGTAGTTTACTTTTTTTTTTTTCTTTTTTGAACGGAATTGTAGTTTACTTAACACTTAAAAAAAATATAAATAAATAAAATAAATCTCTTAGAAAAATTGCTAAAAAAAACCCACTTAAAAAAGGTTTTAATACTGTTTTGACTACGTCTTAACATTCCAATATCTAAACTCTCAACAAATTTTCTTCAAAATAAATAAATAAATAAATAACTCTCAACAAATTACTATATTTTTTACAAAAAAAAAAAAAAAAAAAAAAAAAAAAAAAAAAAAAAAAAAACCTACAACAAATTCTACCCTAACTAACTCCGAAGTTCTAAGCTTATCTATCTACACCATATAATCAATCCCAATCTCTTTCAGTAAACATTTTTGCCTCTTAACAAATTATACACCACAATCCATCAAAAAATTCCACATTTAATTCCCATGTAACGAACATTGTACAAAACAATGCCACCCTTCAAGGATTTATTTTTGTGTCGCTTGTCAACCTCTAGCATTCGATGGTTCGATGAGCTAAAAATTCAAGTCCTTTTCGCCGAAAACTTCACTAATGATCCTAAGCAAAGTGATGATTTAGTCAATACGAAGCCATTAGAGCCACCGCGATTTTATGTAAAATCCATGGTCCGTGGCCAAAAGTTGCGCATGAGCCAACAAACGACTAAAATACAACTCACTAGGAATGATGAAGGGACGTCTTGCGTTAATTGGAATTACCCTATGACGTTCAAGATTTGTATTCAAAGTCTATTTCAAAGTGCTACACTCGAGTTTCGTGTGATCCAAGTTAAGGAGAATAGGTCGGACCAAGAAATTGGAGTTGCTAGCGTGTTTCTTAAGGAATTATATAATAAGGCACCTCATACTCAATTACGCTTACCAATTAAGCTGAGGTTCGGAGAATTGAACAAGGGTTTTCTTTGCGTTTCTAAGGTGATAAATTCATGAAATAAATACAAAGTATTTACAATTTTTATTTTGAGTCAATGAAAGAATTTGCGTCGTTTTTTAAGTTGTTTATTTAGTGCTTGTTTGGCTGATGACTAAATCAAAAAAGGAAAAAAAAAATCAAGGAAGTGGAAGGATAAGTTTTTTTTTAAGGAATTTGCTTTAGGTTCAATCAAACAAGCACATATTCAAGTATTAATATTGCAATAGTAACAAATAATTTATTTTTAAAAAATTTATAAATCCATTTTATGGTTTGTGGTTTGGGTCATTTTTTGAGCTATCGTACTTGTAAATTCATTTGTTTAGGGGTAACAACTATGTTTATTCAATTGTAATTTTCATTAGCGTAGAAAGGTCAAATAATGTAGATGAAATTTATATGGATTTTGAGTATCACTTCCAAAAGATTGACCAAATTAGGTATCATTCGTGTTAAACGTAAGTAGTAGTATAAAGTATAAACTACAAAGTAGGAGTGTTGGTACTTGGTAGTGGGCTGATAGCCTTATCTTTGTGTGGTTTGTTAGCACATATGCGCAGGTTTGGGTCATGTTGGTGGTTCATTAAAATACGTTCATGCAGTTATAAGTATACATTGTAATTTGATAACGAAAGATATATATATATATATATATATATATATATATATATATATATATATATATATATATATATATATATATATATATATATATATATATATATATTATATTATATTATATTATATAATGACCTATTCATCTATAATAAATACCAATATTCAATGTTAATTAATGATTGAATTATAATTTAAACTGTTAAACTTAAGAACGACATGTACCATCATACTATGCCTCTTAATTCTTATTGTGCTTAGTAGAATAATATATTTTTAAAAGCTTTCTAATTTGACCGTAATGCTCCTACTCAATATGTTATTGTTTTATTATTTATTATTCAATTAAAAAGCATACATAAGGCTCAAGCATACATAAATTCTCTTTAACCTTCATTCACTACTACCCTAAAACTATGAACATTAGTAGTTTCCATTGAAAATGTATATCCATTGAAAATGTACACAACATATATTTTTAGAGTTAGGAATTGGTAATTTCATCTCCCCTAAAGTAAATTAAAGTCCGCTCCTAGTATGGCATGTTGATCTCTTTTTATTAAATGTTTATTTATTTTTTTATTTTTTTTTTTTATTTTTTTTATTAATGAGATATAAGGGATGG